GTTTTTACGGGTTAATGCACAAAACTTTATTTATTTGACGTTTCGTAGCCTTTACAGGCTACGTCGTCAGAATCAAACTTTTATTTAATTTGTCGAGCTACCTTCGAATAAATAAAGTTTCGTGCATTAACCCGTAAAAACTAGTTTTATTTAATGAGTGATGTACGTGAAAACCTAAGAAACAAATTAATAAATATGTCAAATAAAAATAAAATAATAAGTCGATAAAAATAAAATAATATGTCAAATAACAGGGTTATAATAATTTAGGTTTGTATTTTAAAGATCGCCTTATTAATATTATTTTGTTGCAAAGTATTCATTTATAGGGTAAAAACATTTATCTAATAAATATATTTTTATCCTAAATTGGTTAAAATATTTTTGTTTTTTATGTGAGCGGGATTTAGTCTAACCCCAAAGTGAGGCCTGTGTTATGGAATATGGATATAAATAAAATTATATTATCAACGCACGCACGTACACAATCAAAATTTATACCCATGGTTTTCGTTAATATTGTCTCTTTCATATTATTGAATTGATTAGAGAACCAGAATATTTAGGATGTCGGTTTTTCTGCAACCGTGTAACCATGTGGCATATAATTCACAGTTGCACAATTTATCAATCTCTCCAGAAACACAGCACGACGCAACAGACATAATATTGCTAAATGTATCATTATTTTGTTCCGAATTTGTTTTCTTATGATTATTTAACGAACCCAGTTTTATGTTACAACTTACAACATTACATTATTCATATTTTGAAACAATTTTATTAAAGAATTCTTTGAATTTCAAAAAAAAACATGTATTCTCAAATCCATGAAGCTTTTTAAACGACTCCGTTTGTTCATCAATACAATCATCATAAAATATGTAATTACAAGTTTCATATTCGTAAAAGACTGGTAAATACCAATTCACTGGGATGAGATCTGGGGCCCGCGAGCGTGTCCCTTCCCACAATATGGGGTATTATATGAGAGGCGTGAAGAAGCACTTTCGCAAGCCGGCAAGGTGAGGATGGTTGGTGTGGCACTTTATAACTGTGTGCTATCTTCGCGTTTACACTTTATCACCACTTAACATCAGGTTGGGTAGAGTCATTTGCCTACCTGGCCCTAAAAAAATATTGACGGATCCGTAATCGTATCGTCATCGTCAAATTTTGTATGGACGGAGCCAGTTTGTTCATACGTCCGGTAAAGTTTCAGTTTCCGTCCCACCACCTTTAATATACCACCGTTAATATGCACCCTTAATATCGAATTCGAATGGTTTACGAGTGCAATATGTTAATGTCACATTTTGTTTGGAAACTTGAACAGCATCGCCACAACGAGAACGAAACGAGAACGAAAAATCAGTACACATTTGACATATGAAATAGATCTAATTCGAATTGTTTTGCGAATGTGAAATGTCACTGTCAAATTTTGTATGGAAACTTGAACTCGAATTCGATATTGGTTCGTGCTTGAATGCTTTGAATTCGAGTACTTTGCGAGTGCGAAATGTCATTGTCAAATGTGTACTGGTTTTTAGTTCTCGTTATGTCCGTCGTGGCGCTGCTGTTCAAGTTTCCATACAAAATTTGACATTGAAATTTCGCACTCGCAATCTACTCGAATTCGATAATGGTTCGTACTAAGGGTACGTTTCATAAATACTAACGATTCGATATGAATGAATGAATATCTTTATTGCACTATTTAACAAAATATATAAAACGTAACTCAAGGAACACAAACACAAAAGGCAGCCTTATTGCTAAGGTAGCAATCTCTACCAGGCTACCTTTGGCTAAATGAAACCATACCATGAGAAAAGAAGAAACTGCGGGCTAGTGCATTTTAAAAATAAAAAAATAGTCGTAAATATAAGAATATAAATATAGTAAGTATATAAGGAAACTATAAAATATAATACAAAGTAACTAACAGATAAAAAGAAAAAGATCAGGCATCCAGCTTGAGGAAATATTCCTTAATTTTAATGATAAAGGAGTCCCTCGATATGATAATGGTGCTGTAAAAGACGTTTCTTTCTTGGGCTTCTGATATTTTGCAAGTGATCTTGTATTTATAATCTTGTTAACAGCTATTATGATTCCGTTTAGGGTTGTGTCAGATTAAAATCAGAATTCTCAGACATCAAATTCTTTATGATTTTATTGATATATTTTTTTAGTGATTTATTCATGGAAAACAAACGTCATGTTAAAACAAAGGATAAAACAAAATGATGGAGCAATGATATGCATAACACAGTTTTCACAAGTACAAATCAAACACAACATACTTTAATTCACTCACGAGGCCATAGATTAATATAAAACAAAATAAAAACATAGAAGGATAAATCTAAGCATAAAACAATACCCACAGAGAAAATGATGATAATTCATTAAATTATTATTAAAAAAAATACTGATTACAATATTTTTGAAGATATTTAGTTTTAACTAGAAAAAAATCCACGCGGACCAGGCAGCGGACGGGACTCGAACCCGCATCCTTCGCAATTTCTTATTTCAAATGTTTAATACTTGAAAAAGTATTCATTTGACATTGTGGGTTACCTACAATGCGAAGAGATGGCGCTGCCTTGCAGCTTCAGGCTAGGAAAATTTCGACGCGGCCATCAGGGCCGTGGTAGCATAATTGGTCAGTGCATTCCCTCGGATTGCGAAGGATGCGGGTTCGAGTCCCATCCGCTGCCTGGTCCGCGTGGATTTTTTTCTAGTTAAACTTTTCTTTAGATTTAAACATCTAGCAGTTAAATGCTTAAAAAAATAAAAAACAACTTATTTAGTCTTGTCCGTAATGATCTCATTACATGTACGAAAGTGCATAATTTAATACTCATAAACTGCGTGTTGGCCTTGACTTACATAATGTTTATCCCAGATATTTGGCGGCCGGTGAAGTATTGGGAAACTGACCGCCGCTCGCGTTAATGAGGTAATGACTGACAGTGCTTAAACGACGAGCTTATTGTGTATGGCTTTACTTACTAAATGAACTATTGTAAGGTGTTTGCAAGAGTTGGAGAGTCGCCGTGATTAATATGGCGACATTATCTTCTTGCCTACATAGCTGAACGTGCTGAGTGTGACTTTGTATTGTTCAGCGATAAACAAAAGAAATCTCACAATATTCGATTAATGTCATGGCGTATGGCGCCAAGTCTCCCGATTTTACAGGAGATCTCCAGTTTTTATGTAATTTCTCCTGTTCTGTTTTTCTACATGAATCTACTGTCTTTCTTAGAATACGATTTTCTTTTTTAAATTGTATTTTGGGTTGCATTTTCCGCCTTTAAGAATGTAGGTAACCTTAATTATTATAAAATAAATGTTATTGTCTAAAAAAACGAGCTTTGAGAAGACAGAAGCCACAGAAACACATTCGTTACTGGATTATATCTATGATTTGAGGCTGATTTACCAATTTTAGTGGGGGGGGGGGGGGGGGGGCAAATCGGAAATACTGTTTTTTCTAGTAGCTCTTTCTATACATCTACTGCGTCAGATTTTTAAAAATCGGTCCTGGCAACACTGGCAAGGTCGGAGAGACCAATGTACGAAGGCCAAACATCCTACAGGCTGGGTGTTCTTAGCCTGGGGGCCAAGGTCCGACTCCCGATCACTGTGGATCTGATAATGTGAGCCTTGGAATTCTATTAGAGCGATGTAGGGTCTATATTATCGTCAGTTGGTTTATTATGGTCATAATTGAGTACTCGGCTAGTGGCGCCATCTGTTGACAAAGCGAGTATTATCTTGCTCCGCTAAGCTTCAGTCACACACAGCGAATACCCGCTGCGAGTGCATTTGTGCACGACTGTTAAGCGGGTTACTGACATCCTACTACTGGGCTACTGGCTCCGGCGGACCATCATCAACGCGTGTGCTTAGCTCAACTTATACCCGAATACAGAATAGCAGGCATGTGTGTAGAGTGGTCTCTATATGTCCCGATATTTTGCTCCGACCGCGCCGTGCGCCCTAGACTAGATTGGCCCTGAGGCAGGGATGTCAGTAGCCCGTTTTATTCTTGTAGAAGTCGCTGTGTCTGCCTGCCTGTCAGACACAGCGACTTCTACAAGCGAATTTCTACAGTATGTTAATGCGCAAATTTAGATATATCGTCCGTCGTATTACCTACACTACACCCAAGAAACGAATTATGTCTTTATTTCTCCACTTTTTGCTTTTTGGTTGACTCATCGTAATTAATACTAGTATCTATCAAAAAAAAATCAAAAATACTTTATTTTTATAACCAATATTATGCTAGTGATTCAATATTTGAGAATCCCTAGTAGACAAGTTTATTTGCCTGTGTCAGGAACTCTCGCTCTTCCATAACTTTTCCAAACTTAATACCATATTGGTTACAAATATATAACGATTTTTACATTTTGTCTTTAGTCTAAAGTGTTCAATATATCTGTTATGTTTGTGTGTGGGTGTGAGTGAGTTTGTGTGTATTTGATTATGACAAATTTTGAAGCAAGTTTTTAGTAGCTATGCAGCGATGAAACGACCTTCATCACAGACGTATAGTTTATAGCGACGCGCTAAGCGGAATGTCTATTCGCTATAAGTACCCGTTACGCATAGGGAATTCTCGCGGCGAGTGCGCATTCGCAGACAGAAAAATGAAACATGTTCAATTTAAATTGCGGCGAATTCAACTTGCGGCGATTGAAACTATCCGTAGAGAATAGCCTGTCACATACAGCGAATACTCGCGGCAAGTATGTATTCACAGCGATTCGTCGCTGTGTGGGACCGAGGCTTTTCGTTGTTTGGTTGGCGTGTGTTTTGCGTCACCAAAGTGTCAATCGTATATCACCAAATAACAGCGTCAGAAAGTTATATCACAGGTCATATAGTCGAGGTCTTCTTTTCTATAGACAGGTCTACAGTTCAATAGCAAAATCAGCTGCTCCTTACCCCCTGTAATAAGTACTGTGTGTTTTCAGACATGGATTGGGCACTGGCGTGGTCGGTGCGCGGCAGCTGGCGCGCCTTGCTGGCGGCGCCGGGGCGCGCGGGCGCAGGCGGCGACCTGGCCGCGCTGGACGGGCTGCGCGTGCTGGGCATGCTGTGCGTCATAGTGGAGCACGTGTGCTGGCTCAACACACTCACCTACCTGCTCAACCCGCGCCGCGTGGCACAGGTACACACACTACATGGACACCTGGCCGCGCTGGACGGGCTGCGCGTGCTGGGCATGCTGTGCGTCATAGTGGAGCACGTGTGCTGGCTCAACACACTCACCTACCTGCTCAACCCGCGCCGCGTGGCACAGGTACACACACTACATGGACACCTGGCCGCGCTGGACGGGCTGCGCGTGCTGGGCATGCTGTGCGTCATAGTGGAGCACGTGTGCTGGCTCAACACACTCACCTACCTGCTCAACCCGCGCCGCGTGGCACAGGTACACACACTACATGGACACCTGGCCGCGCTGGACGGGCTGCGCGTGCTGGGCATGCTGTGCGTCATAGTGGAGCACGTGTGCTGGCTCAACACACTCACCTACCTGCTCAACCCGCGCCGCGTGGCACAGGTACACACACTACATGGACACCTGGCCGCGCTGGACGGGCTGCGCGTGCTGGGCATGCTGTGCGTCATAGTGGAGCACGTGTGCTGGCTCAACACACTCACCTACCTGCTCAACCCGCGCCGCGTGGCACAGGTACACACACTACATGGACACCTGGCCGCGCTGGACGGGCTGCGCGTGCTGGGCATGCTGTGCGTCATAGTGGAGCACGTGTGCTGGCTCAACACACTCACCTACCTGCTCAACCCGCGCCGCGTGGCACAGGTACACACACTACATGGACACCTGGCCGCGCTGGACGGGCTGCGCGTGCTGGGCATGCTGTGCGTCATAGTGGAGCACGTGTGCTGGCTCAACACACTCACCTACCTGCTCAACCCGCGCCGCGTGGCACAGGTACACACACTACATGGACACCTGGCCGCGCTGGACGGGCTGCGCGTGCTGGGCATGCTGTGCGTCATAGTGGAGCACGTGTGCTGGCTCAACACACTCACCTACCTGCTCAACCCGCGCCGCGTGGCACAGGTACACACACTACATGGACACCTGGCCGCGCTGGACGGGCTGCGCGTGCTGGGCATGCTGTGCGTCATAGTGGAGCACGTGTGCTGGCTCAACACACTCACCTACCTGCTCAACCCGCGCCGCGTGGCACAGGTACACACACTACATGGACACCTGGCCGCGCTGGACGGGCTGCGCGTGCTGGGCATGCTGTGCGTCATAGTGGAGCACGTGTGCTGGCTCAACACACTCACCTACCTGCTCAACCCGCGCCGCGTGGCACAGGTACACACACTACATGGACACCTGGCCGCGCTGGACGGGCTGCGCGTGCTGGGCATGCTGTGCGTCATAGTGGAGCACGTGTGCTGGCTCAACACACTCACCTACCTGCTCAACCCGCGCCGCGTGGCACAGGTACACACACTACATGGACACCTGGCCGCGCTGGACGGGCTGCGCGTGCTGGGCATGCTGTGCGTCATAGTGGAGCACGTGTGCTGGCTCAACACACTCACCTACCTGCTCAACCCGCGCCGCGTGGCACAGGTACACACACTACATGGACACCTGGCCGCGCTGGACGGGCTGCGCGTGCTGGGCATGCTGTGCGTCATAGTGGAGCACGTGTGCTGGCTCAACACACTCACCTACCTGCTCAACCCGCGCCGCGTGGCACAGGTACACACACTACATGGACACCTGGCCGCGCTGGACGGGCTGCGCGTGCTGGGCATGCTGTGCGTCATAGTGGAGCACGTGTGCTGGCTCAACACACTCACCTACCTGCTCAACCCGCGCCGCGTGGCACAGGTACACACACTACATGGACACCTGGCCGCGCTGGACGGGCTGCGCGTGCTGGGCATGCTGTGCGTCATAGTGGAGCACGTGTGCTGGCTCAACACACTCACCTACCTGCTCAACCCGCGCCGCGTGGCACAGGTACACACACTACATGGACACCTGGCCGCGCTGGACGGGCTGCGCGTGCTGGGCATGCTGTGCGTCATAGTGGAGCACGTGTGCTGGCTCAACACACTCACCTACCTGCTCAACCCGCGCCGCGTGGCACAGGTACACACACTACATGGACACCTGGCCGCGCTGGACGGGCTGCGCGTGCTGGGCATGCTGTGCGTCATAGTGGAGCACGTGTGCTGGCTCAACACACTCACCTACCTGCTCAACCCGCGCCGCGTGGCACAGGTACACACACTACATGGACACCTGGCCGCGCTGGACGGGCTGCGCGTGCTGGGCATGCTGTGCGTCATAGTGGAGCACGTGTGCTGGCTCAACACACTCACCTACCTGCTCAACCCGCGCCGCGTGGCACAGGTACACACACTACATGGACACCTGGCCGCGCTGGACGGGCTGCGCGTGCTGGGCATGCTGTGCGTCATAGTGGAGCACGTGTGCTGGCTCAACACACTCACCTACCTGCTCAACCCGCGCCGCGTGGCACAGGTACACACACTACATGGACACCTGGCCGCGCTGGACGGGCTGCGCGTGCTGGGCATGCTGTGCGTCATAGTGGAGCACGTGTGCTGGCTCAACACACTCACCTACCTGCTCAACCCGCGCCGCGTGGCACAGGTACACACACTACATGGACACCTGGCCGCGCTGGACGGGCTGCGCGTGCTGGGCATGCTGTGCGTCATAGTGGAGCACGTGTGCTGGCTCAACACACTCACCTACCTGCTCAACCCGCGCCGCGTGGCACAGGTACACACACTACATGGACACCTGGCCGCGCTGGACGGGCTGCGCGTGCTGGGCATGCTGTGCGTCATAGTGGAGCACGTGTGCTGGCTCAACACACTCACCTACCTGCTCAACCCGCGCCGCGTGGCACAGGTACACACACTACATGGACACCTGGCCGCGCTGGACGGGCTGCGCGTGCTGGGCATGCTGTGCGTCATAGTGGAGCACGTGTGCTGGCTCAACACACTCACCTACCTGCTCAACCCGCGCCGCGTGGCACAGGTACACACACTACATGGACACCTGGCCGCGCTGGACGGGCTGCGCGTGCTGGGCATGCTGTGCGTCATAGTGGAGCACGTGTGCTGGCTCAACACACTCACCTACCTGCTCAACCCGCGCCGCGTGGCACAGGTACACACACTACATGGACACCTGGCCGCGCTGGACGGGCTGCGCGTGCTGGGCATGCTGTGCGTCATAGTGGAGCACGTGTGCTGGCTCAACACACTCACCTACCTGCTCAACCCGCGCCGCGTGGCACAGGTACACACACTACATGGACACCTGGCCGCGCTGGACGGGCTGCGCGTGCTGGGCATGCTGTGCGTCATAGTGGAGCACGTGTGCTGGCTCAACACACTCACCTACCTGCTCAACCCGCGCCGCGTGGCACAGGTACACACACTACATGGACACCTGGCCGCGCTGGACGGGCTGCGCGTGCTGGGCATGCTGTGCGTCATAGTGGAGCACGTGTGCTGGCTCAACACACTCACCTACCTGCTCAACCCGCGCCGCGTGGCACAGGTACACACACTACATGGACACCTGGCCGCGCTGGACGGGCTGCGCGTGCTGGGCATGCTGTGCGTCATAGTGGAGCACGTGTGCTGGCTCAACACACTCACCTACCTGCTCAACCCGCGCCGCGTGGCACAGGTACACACACTACATGGACACCTGGCCGCGCTGGACGGGCTGCGCGTGCTGGGCATGCTGTGCGTCATAGTGGAGCACGTGTGCTGGCTCAACACACTCACCTACCTGCTCAACCCGCGCCGCGTGGCACAGGTACACACACTACATGGACACCTGGCCGCGCTGGACGGGCTGCGCGTGCTGGGCATGCTGTGCGTCATAGTGGAGCACGTGTGCTGGCTCAACACACTCACCTACCTGCTCAACCCGCGCCGCGTGGCACAGGTACACACACTACATGGACACCTGGCCGCGCTGGACGGGCTGCGCGTGCTGGGCATGCTGTGCGTCATAGTGGAGCACGTGTGCTGGCTCAACACACTCACCTACCTGCTCAACCCGCGCCGCGTGGCACAGGTACACACACTACATGGACACCTGGCCGCGCTGGACGGGCTGCGCGTGCTGGGCATGCTGTGCGTCATAGTGGAGCACGTGTGCTGGCTCAACACACTCACCTACCTGCTCAACCCGCGCCGCGTGGCACAGGTACACACACTACATGGACACCTGGCCGCGCTGGACGGGCTGCGCGTGCTGGGCATGCTGTGCGTCATAGTGGAGCACGTGTGCTGGCTCAACACACTCACCTACCTGCTCAACCCGCGCCGCGTGGCACAGGTACACACACTACATGGACACCTGGCCGCGCTGGACGGGCTGCGCGTGCTGGGCATGCTGTGCGTCATAGTGGAGCACGTGTGCTGGCTCAACACACTCACCTACCTGCTCAACCCGCGCCGCGTGGCACAGGTACACACACTACATGGACACCTGGCCGCGCTGGACGGGCTGCGCGTGCTGGGCATGCTGTGCGTCATAGTGGAGCACGTGTGCTGGCTCAACACACTCACCTACCTGCTCAACCCGCGCCGCGTGGCACAGGTACACACACTACATGGACACCTGGCCGCGCTGGACGGGCTGCGCGTGCTGGGCATGCTGTGCGTCATAGTGGAGCACGTGTGCTGGCTCAACACACTCACCTACCTGCTCAACCCGCGCCGCGTGGCACAGGTACACACACTACATGGACACCTGGCCGCGCTGGACGGGCTGCGCGTGCTGGGCATGCTGTGCGTCATAGTGGAGCACGTGTGCTGGCTCAACACACTCACCTACCTGCTCAACCCGCGCCGCGTGGCACAGGTACACACACTACATGGACACCTGGCCGCGCTGGACGGGCTGCGCGTGCTGGGCATGCTGTGCGTCATAGTGGAGCACGTGTGCTGGCTCAACACACTCACCTACCTGCTCAACCCGCGCCGCGTGGCACAGGTACACACACTACATGGACACCTGGCCGCGCTGGACGGGCTGCGCGTGCTGGGCATGCTGTGCGTCATAGTGGAGCACGTGTGCTGGCTCAACACACTCACCTACCTGCTCAACCC